ATAAATCTTGTATTATTATAAGTTTTACTATAATAAGTACTTTTTAAGTTTAGTTCTTCATTATTTTTATTTTAAATTAAATATACTACCTATACCTACCTATCGAGTGAAAGTTTGTATAGTTTTTAATAAGTGCGACGTAATAATAATTCCACTCAAATTTATTTCAATGAGATAATTGTACATATACATAAATACTTGAAAATTCAAATATCTTAACAGAGCTGTTGATCGAAAATAGTAATCAACGACACTGTGATAGTTATTACGTATTATTAAATATAAAATATAAAGAATATTTCGTGATGTTAACATATGTACATGTTTATGATGAAACATTATTTTAAAATTGCCAATATAAGCACTTAAAAAAAGGTGTAAATAATAAAAGAATACAAAAATAAAGCATACTCTTATAAACTATTAAAACTAAAATGTTAACCCTTCACTGGTAGGTTTAAAAACATGAAATATTATACTCTTACGGAGTACGTGCGTTCTTGAAAATAATAATCTTTTTTGTACTACTTATAAAATAATATATAAATATCAGATTTTTATTTTAGCACAATATTTTTATGGTCCATTATGACCTATATTATCGAGAAATAAATCACTATAAGTTACTCAAAAAATTAAACAAAAGTCATTATTATATTTATTTTTTATTTTTCAGGCTCTTTTAAGGGCAGCATTGCCGCAACAGAATGCTATGATATTAGTTTTCATGGCAGTCGACAGATACACATGTATGTTGCACCCTGAAAAATATCACAAGCATTCGAGTAAAAAAGTAAGTTATTAAATTTTTATGTGATCCTCAAATAAATAGAAAATATTGTCATAATAGATTATAATAGTTTATGTTGTTTATGGTGTTTAAAAAGGGTAATTTTAACGAAAAATTAAAAAATCTTGAAATTTAACTGCAGTTATTTATGTATATTTAAAGCACATTTTATAAAATTAATATGTTACTGGTTGAATGATACTTCAAACACCTGCAAATATTTAMAAGAGATGGATAGCAATTTTATTTCTGCAATAATAGATGCTCTATCTAATATAGTATGTCCGGCAATACTATTTATTGTAGTGTTACCAACACTATAACGAGAGAATGCTACGAAKRTTCCATAATCATTATTGTGAGTAGGTACCTATGGAGTATATAATTCCCATTAGATATACCTACCCTCTAAAGTTTTGTTCAACAATGAACAAATTTAAAAGTTACCTTCATGTATTTATACATAAAGATGTGAATTCATTTAATTTTAACGATGATTTCTTAGTCAGTAATTTTTTTTACTGTTCATAAAATTGAGTCTCCCATTGTTATAACACATTTTTTTCATACGCATAATATTATTATTTAGATATTATTTGGTTCATTAGTAGGTAAATTATCTTATTACTTAGATAAACCATAGTATATTGGAACAGCATATTATGCGTGTTAATATTCTCGAATTTAACGCTTTCAATTTTTATATAATTTTTTTTTTTATATACATTATACTGTTGAGTGTTAATTACTATTATATAATAATATGTATCTACGAACAAACTTAAACCTTAGAAAACTTCACCATAATTGTTTACGATAAAATTCCCATCACTGWTAATACAATAGTATTTCAGCTTCATGGTAATACATTTATGCTATACAGTATTATTATACAATATACATATAAATAATATTAGCATTTTCCTGAATTTTGTGATGAAAATTTAAGTTACTATTAATCGCTTTGTTTATTAACAAACTATTTTTCTATAAAAATTACATAATTACTTATTCATATTCAATATAAAACTATTTTTAAAGTGTAGATACTATCTATTGATAGGTACGTATGATATTCATTGAAAACTAAACATAATTTTTAGATCACCGATATTCACATTTACTCGCGAGTGTGCTACAGGCAATGTGAATAGACTATGAACACTCAAAATTATTTTGTTACGCCGCATTACACAATATTTGGCATCCCTAATAAATTATCATCTGTAGGTTGTCTTTATTTTTCGAAAAAAAATCAGTAAAAATATAATAGAATACAAATTTCATTGTATCTACTATATTTAGTAAAAAGTTTGTAGTTAAGGTGCGCTTATACTGTGTATGTTAAAAAATAATTTAAAATATTATAATATATAAAAAGAAAAAATAACAGTTCTGATACGAATCAAATTTTCTTCCATCTCTAATGGACATTTGGTGTCTTCGCTCTTTAGGAGCTAGGTGGGTACCTATATTATATTATTAAGTTTGTACTTATGACAAGATAATATGTCTGGATAGTTTTTCGAGTGAAACTGCTTTTTCGGTGCAAATACTAAGTGACTGGTGAGTATTGAAGTTGTTATGAGAGAGTTATGTGAGTTATTGTGCTGAGACTGTATTTAAAAGCGTCTAGCATATACACTTCAGATGAATTGCGAATGTAATTGTATATAATATATAACAATAGGTTCATGTAATTCATCAATACACATATTATACTCCTTGTGAAACTTATTCCTTGCATAAACAATACATATTCTAATAGCATTTTAAATATTATAAATATAATAAACTTTAATGTATTTACTAATTTACTATTACCAACTCTTAAACCAGCTTTCTCAAAAGTAAAATCTTTGCATTCCAAAATAAAGTTCTTCTTATTTCTGTCCAGAACCTAAAATGTGTACGAAAATAAATATTTATCAAAAATTGAATCAATTTTATTATTATCAGTGCACATTTTTTGAACTAGGATTTATATGAAATTACCATGAATGAATATGATTTGAAAATATTATTAAAATGTGTGACTATTTCAGTCATGGGAATTGATTCATTTACAGGTTATTCAAAATTAAATCATAAGCATTGCTATTAACTGATGATATCAAACAAATAAAATCGTGTAATAAAATTTAAGTACCACTCTGGAACCTATATTTTGTTTAAAAACTATGAATAATTTCCATTTACAATTCGTAAAAGATACATTTATATTCAGTTTCTCATATTTTCGATATAGGTACTTCTAATAATTTTATACAAGTATTCAAACTCATATTTATAAATCTTTTGATGAATAACAATAAAAATAAAAGAAATGGTTCATAAACTTATAATAAATACACAGATATTTAATGTTTATTCGTGTGAACGAAAATTGAGTATAGAATGAAAATACGAAGTATTTATCATTTACGACGGAACTAACTAAAGTAAAATATTATACAATATTTATGCTTATTTACA